CCGAAGATGACTACTCTTCGGGTGCTGCTGCACATAGCCGCTCACCGCGACTACGAGCTTCACTCTCTTGACTTCAGCACTGCTTTCTTGCAGGGCAGCCTGCACGAGGAGATCTGGCTGCGCCGCCCCCCTGGCTTCACTGGGTCATTTCCTCCTGGCACCCAGTGGAGGCTTCAGCGGCCGGTCTACGGTCTCCGCCAGGCGCCACGTGAGTGGCACGACACACTGAGGACGACACTTGCGGCTCTTGGGTTCGCTCCCTCTACTGCTGACCCGTCGCTGTTTCTACGCACCGACACCTCGCTGCCGCCGTTCTACATCCTCGTGTACGTCGACGACTTGGTCTTTGCCACTGCTGACACCGCGGCACTCGCCTACGTGAAGTCGGAGCTGCAGAGGAGACACACGTGCACAGACCTGGGTGAGCTGACGAGCTATCTTGGCTTGCGGATCACCCGGGACAGAGCACGGCGCACCATCACCCTGACTCAGTCACACATGGTGCAGCAGGTTCTCCAGCGCTTCCGCTTCACGTACTCCTCGCCTCAGTCCACTCCTCTGCCTACCGGTCACTCGCTCTCAGCTCTGCCTTCGGATGAGTCCGTAGAGCCGAGTGGCCCGTATCCAGAGCTTGTGGGCTGCCTCATGTACCTGATGACCTGCACTCGACCTGACCTTGCATACCCTCTTAGCATCCTAGCACGCTATGTCGCTCCTGGCCGTCATCGGAAGGAGCACATGGATGCCGCTAAGAGGGTGTTGCGCTACTTGTGCAGTACGTCGGGCATGGGGCTTGTGCTTGGAGGGCGAGACCGGGTTGTTCTCACAGGGCACTCAGACGCTTCTTGGGCAGACGACCAGGCTACTCAGCGGTCGTCCCAGGGTTACACCTTCAGCCTTGGCTCTGGCTCAGTTTCTTGGCGTTCTACTCGCTCTTCTTCTGTTCTCAGCTCCAGTTGTGAGGCTGAGATCTACGCCACAGCCATGGCTGCTCAGGAGCTACGCTGGCTGACCTACCTGCTGACCGACCTCGGAGAGCGGCCTCGTTCTCCTCCAGTGCTGTACGTCGACAACAAGGCTGCCATTGCCTTGTGTGAGGAGCACAGACTGGAGCACAGAACGAAGCACATCGCTCTGCGGTACTTCCTTGCTCGAGAGCTGCAGCAGCGTGGTCAGCTTTGTCTGCGTTACGTGGCCACGGAGGCCAACACTGCTGATGTGTTCACCAAGGCGCTTCAGCCTTGTGACCATCAGCGCTTTTGCACTCTGCTAGGCCTTGTACCTACTGGGCCTCACTTGCTTACCTCTTGACCTTGCTTGTACTGTGATCACTATATATATATGCCTACTTGTTTACTTTTGCTAGGTTGTGATCACTGTATCTCTTGCTTTGTTATAAACCTGCATGTGAACTGGTCTTGTGACCGCTTGCTTGTGCTCGGAATTTGTGTGGAATCCTTGAGATCCACCCTGAGCTTGCTTTGCTTTGCTTTGACTGGTCTTGTGACCCTGTGGTTGTCTCCCACTGCGCCTATGGGGGTGTGTCAAACATTGCATGTTTATATTATGTAGGCTGTAGTGGGTTACACCTTAGGGGGTACACAAAGTTAGGGTTTCCTACTTGTACCAAACTCTGTTCTAGTTCATCCATTCCTGCTCAGTTATTTCTGACAGCTTTTCCTTACGCCTATAGAGATTCACGCGCTTTCTAGGCACTTGGCGGAAAAAACGACCGAAATCGTAGGCGCCGAACTTTTCTTCGCGCAAGAATCAGGCCGAGAAGGCTCTACTAGGTGTATTTGAACATGGTTCACTCGAATATGCAATGAAATTGAGGTTGTTGAGTGCTTTTCCTTATGCATATAGGGATTCACGCGCTTTCTAGGCACTTGGCGGCAAAAACGGCCGAAATCGTAAGCGCCGAACTTTTCTTCGCGCAAGAACCAGGCCGAAAAGGCTCTAATAGGTGTATTTGAGAATGGAACACTCGAATATGCAATGAAATTGAGGTTGTTGAGTGCTTTTTCTTATGCATATAGGGATTCACGCGCTTTCTAGGCACTTGGCGGCAAAAACGGCCGAAATCGTAAGCGCCGAACTTTTCTTCGCGCAAGAACCAGGCCAAAAAGGCTTTAATAGGTGTATTTAAAAAAACGGCCACTCGAATATGCAATGAAATTGAGGTTGTTGAGTGCTTTTCTTTATGCCTATGGAGATTCACGCGCTTTCTAGGCACTTTGCGGCAAAAAAACGGCCGAAATCGTTAACGCCGAACTTTTCTTTGCGCAAGAACCTGGCCGAAAAGGCTCTACTAGGTGTATTTGAACATGTGCTACTCGAATATACAATAAAATTTAGGTTGTTGAGTGCTTTCCTTTACGCCTATAGAGATTCACGCGCTTTCTAGGCAGTCAGCGGCAATAACGACCAAAATCGTGGCGCCAAACTTTTCTTTGCGCAAGAACCTGGCCGAAAAGGCTCTACTAGGTGTATTTGAACATGTGCTACTCGAATATACAATAAAATTTAGGTTGTTGAGTGCTTTCCTTTACGCCTATAGAGATTCACGCGCTTTCTAGGCAGTCAGCGGCAATAACGACCAAAATCGTAGGCGCCAAACTTTTCTTCGCGCAAGAACCAGGCCGAAAAGGCTCTAGTAGGTGTATTTGAACATGGGCCACTCGAATATGCAATGAAATTGAGGTTTTTGAGTGCTTTTCCTTATGCATATAGGGATTCACGCGCTTTCTAGGCACTTGGCGGCAAAAACGACCGAAATCGTAAGCTCCGAACTTTTCTTTACGCAACAACCAAGCCAAAAAGGCTCTAGGAGTGTATTTGAACAGGGGCAACTCCAATATGCAATAAAATTCAGGTTGTTGAGTACTTTTCCCTACGCCTATGGGGATTCACGCGCTTTCTAGGCACTTGACGACAATAATTGCCAAAATCGTAGGCGCCGAACTTTTCTTCGCGCAAGAACCAAGCCAAAAAGGCTCTATTATGTGTATTTGAACATGTGCCACTCGAATATGCAATGAATTTGAGGTTGTTGAGTGCTTTTCTTTATGCATATAGGGATTCACGCGCCGATTTTTTCTTCGCGCAAGAACTAGGTCGATAAGGCTCTAGTAGGTGTATTTCAATATGTGCCACTTGAATATGCAAGAAAATTCAAGTTTTTGAGTGCTTTGCCCTACGCCTATAGAGATTCACGCGCTTCCTATGCACTTGGTGTCAGTAATAACGGACTGGAATGATGAACTAGCAAGGAATGTGAGTACAAATATGAAACCCTAATGTTGTGACCCCCCTATAGGCTAACCCACTACAGCCTACACAAATACAACATGTATAATGTTTGACACACCCCCATAGGCAAAGTGGGGGAGACCTAGGGGTCACAAGACCAGTCAAGGCAAAGCAAGGCAACAACAAGCTCAGGGTGGATCTCAAGGATTCCACACAAATTCCGAGCACAAGCTAGTGGTCACAAGACCAGTTCACATGCAGGTTTATAACAGAGCAAGAGATACAGTGATCACAACCTAGCAAGAGTAAACATGCAGGTATAGATATATATAGTGATCACAGTACAAGCAAAGTCAAGAGGTAAGTAAGTGAGGTCCAGTAGGCACAAGGCCTAGTAGAGTGCAGAAGCGCTGATGGTCACGAGGCTGAAGTGCCTTGGTGAACACATCAGCAGTGTTGGCCTCAGTGGCCACGTAGCGAATACAAAGCTGACCGCGCTGCTGCAGCTCACGAGCAAGGAAGTACCGCAGGGTGATGTGCTTCGTTCTGTGCTCCAGTCTGTGCTCCTCACACAAGGCAATGGCAGCCTTGTTGTCGACGTACAGTACTGGAGGAGAACGAGGCCGCTCTCCGAGGTCGGTCAGCAGGTAGGTCAGCCAGCGTAGCTCCTGGGCAGCCATGGCTGTAGCGTAGATCTCAGCCTCGCAACTGGAGCCGAGAACAGAAGAAGAGCGTGTAGAGCGCCAAGAAACTGAACCAGAGCCAAGGCTGAAGGTGTAACCCTGAGACGACCGCTGAGTGGCCTGGTCGTCTGCCCAAGAAGCGTCTGAGTGCCCTGTGAGAACAACTCGGTCTCGCCCTCCAAGCACAAGCCCCATGCCCGACGTACTGCACAAGTAGCGCAACACCCTCTTAGCGGCATCCATGTGCTCCTTCCTGTGACGGCCAGGAGCGACATAGCATGCAAGGATGCTAAGAGGGTATGCAAGGTCAGGTCGAGTGCAGGTCATCAGGTACATGAGGCAGCCCACAAGCTCTGGACCATGTCAGTAATAACGGACTGGAATGATGAACTAGCAAGGAATGTGAGTACAAATATGAAACCCTAATGTTGTGACCCCCCTATAGGCTAACCCACTACAGCCTACACAAATACAACATGTATAATGTTTGACACTTGGCGGCAAAAACGGCCGAAATCGTAGGCGCCGAACTTTTCTTCGCGCAAGAACCAAGCTGAAAAGACTCTTATAGGTGTATTTGAACATTGGACACTCGAATATGTAGAAAAAGTCAGGTTTTTGAATGCTTTTCCCTACGCCTATAGGAATTTGAGTTACGCGCTTTCTAGGCACTTGGCGACAAAAACGGCCGAAATCGTAGGCGCCGAAGTTTTCTTCGCGCAATAACCAGGTCAAAAAGGCTCTAGTAGGTGCATTTGAACATGGCAGTAGGTTGCTCGGTGAGGATACATGACATTAGACGCTAAGTTGCTCGGTGTTTTCAGGTTATAGGGTGCTTTAAGGTTGATGGACATTTCAGATTGGTTAGTATCCGCTCATCTCATCATCCCTACCGTATGTTCGTACCTAGTATTAGGGAAAACCCAGAAGCTGGGCAGGGCAGATAGATTACAACGCTTTTCCTGCCAAAGAGCTATAGCTCATAAACATTACGTACACCTACTTAAAATAAACCAGGTAGGTCTATAACACTGCATCTGCATTACCCACACGCACCAAACCATCCTATGTGCTCGTACTTGTATCTGAGCCCTCATTCTCGCCCTCGCCCTTGCCCTCCTGTGCCTCTCCCGTGCTGGGCCACAGGTCACCCCACCGCACCTTGCGTGCAAACCGGTACTCCACGCGCCCCGCAGCCTTGGAGAAGAGCAGGCGCTGCAGCTCACCGCGCCGCCCCCTGCCGTCCACTGAAGCACACACGTCCACTATCACGTGCTGCCCCCGCCTCCTCGGCTCGCGAATCACGCGGCTCCACTCGGGACTCAAATTCGCAAAGCGGTCGCCACGTGGCGGGTTGTCAGTGGCTAATGCGGGATCCACTGAATCATCATCCAGGTCATCATCATCGTTATCACTGTAATCCTCATGATTGCTGTCAGTGAAATTCACTTCCATCTCCCCTTCCTCTTCGTCTAGAGAACTGACAGGAGTGTGCTTCGGTCGAACGTCTGCCTCCTCTTCCTCATCCACTTCCTCCTCCTCCTCCTCTTCCTCCTCTTCCTCTTCCTCCTCCTCCGCCCGCTCCCCCCCTTCACCTGCACCCTCCGCCCCTAGCCCCTCCCCTTGCTGCAGCGCACCCGTCTGTGCGCCCACAGGCTCCTCGTCCAGGGGAATGAGCCGCACCGTCGGCCCCCACTTGGCTGGTGGTGGAGGCAGCGCAGGGGCACACCGAAGAGGAGAAAGGGAGAGGGGAGTGAAGGACGGATCGGGAATGGCAATCAGCAGGCATGTGCGGGTTGACATGGTGGATGTGTGCTGACGATGGGCCTGATGGATGGGGCATCGGCCTTGCTGTCTGCGTGGGCACCACAGGCCCTGGCACTTGCACAGTGAGGGCATACAGTTGCCTTCAAAAGCGTTTAGCAGCTCAGCGAATAAACCCATCCCCTCCTCACCTTGCTTCTTGGCCAGTCGCTTGGCTTCCTTCTCCGCCTCCTCCCTCGCCTGCCTCTCCTTCTCCTCCCTCCGGAACTGGGCTATCTGCTGCAGCGGCGCCACCACCCTGCCACTCCACAACCAGGGGAAGAGGGGAGGATGGGAAGTGACGCAAGACACGCAGATGCTACCCCTTGAAGGCCTTGGAAGTGCCAGCGCCAAATCAGACGAGCTTGGCATCACGAGTCCCCTCAGTGACTCACCCAGGTCACAGTGCCTCGCCCCACCCACCCACTCGAGCCTCGCCTTGCCCCACGCACTCACTGGGGTCGAGGTCCCCTGCGCAGCACCACATAGGAGAACTTCTCCTCCTCCGTGCTGCCCGTTATCTCTTGCCCCGCTGCCCTCTGCCAGGGGTGGAGCGACAGGGGTGGCGAGGTGAGGGTGAGCAAAAGGCATGATAGTGAAGGGCGTGCCCACATGAGGCAAGGATTGATAGAGAATGCAGGGCGAGAGACAAGGGGGGAGTGAAGTGGCACGGCCAAGTGGATGGATGTGGGGCACGAGGAGCAGCACAAGAGCAGCGCACATGGTGGCAGGACCGCTACCATACCTTGGCAATGCGCTGCACGGCAGAGCGCTGCAGCGTCTGTGAGAAGTGGCACCAGCTGGTCGTGCCATACATGGGGCAGTGGCCGTCGTGTGGGCACTGGTAGGGCGAGGGCGGGGATGGGGAGGGAGGAGGGATGAGGTGTGGCAGGAAAGCAAGCAGTAGCATGCACATCAAACACAAGTGGCACCAGCTGACCGTGCCGTACATGGGGCAGTGCCCGTCGTGTGCACACTGGGGGCGAGGATGGGGGAGGTGGGAGGCGAAGGTGGCGTTTTGTGAGTGCAAGAGATGGAGGATGTGGTGTGGGGGTCGGGGAGGTGGAAACAAGCACAAGGAAGGGATGCTGCAGAGCCGTGCGGGGGAAGTGAAAGAGCAGCAGAGGACTCGAGACGGAAGTGGGAAGAGAGAAGAGCGAGGGGCTAGGGGGGGGAAGGTGGCACTGACAGGGGCGAGCACATGAGCACCGGGCGGCAGAAGGGGTTTGGAGGGGTGCGGGGCGTTCTTGCTGGGTCCCCTATCGGCGAGTCGCGCTGCCTTCTGGTTCATGTGGGAGGGGCGAGGGGGCATGGGGTGAGCAGGACGAGTGGAGGCAAGGGAGAGAAGGGGGCGACAAGGCTGGTGAGTGCAGGAGAGAGCAGAGGAGGAGGGAGAGCAGAAGCAAATAGATGCACAAGAGGATCAGCTGGGGTATGAAAGGCGAGATTGCTCGACGGGGGGACGGGGGTCCCTGGGAGACCCCTGGAGGTTCCTGGGGCACCCTTGGGGTCCCTGGGGGTCCGTGGGGGTTGCGAGAGAGCAAAGGGCGGCGAATGGTACGTGTGCTCACCGCTCTCTGCGTGTGCAGTATGTGCGCCCTGGCCTTGGCTATGGCCTCATACCCGCGTGGGTTGCCTGTCTCCACCAGCACCTGCTCTCCCACACACACACGCACAGGTGGGAGAATGTCACGAGATGAGAAGGCATGAGAAGAGATGAGATGAGAAGGGAGGAGGATGCGGTCGGAGAGGCAGGCGGGTGTATGCATCCCATGCCATGCCATACCATGACGTCTTGCATGCAAAATCTATGATCAAGCATGTCACCGCATGCATTGCATACCATCACATGGCATCACCACATGCCATCAAATGCCATGCCACAGCATGACACACCATGACATGGCGAGCATGGCTCCAGAGGCGGTCCACGATGGCTCGCCTCTCATCCACCGATACCACCTCGCCCAGTGCATATGCCTGCCGCATGGGAGGGCGGTGGGAGTGTGGTGGGAGAGGGAGGGCAGGGTCAAGCTCTCATCCACCGATTCCACCTCGCCCAGTGCATATGCCTGCCACATCGGGGAGCGGGGTGAGTGTGGTGGTGGGAGAGGGAGGGCGGGCAGTGGTGCGAGCGACATACAATAGGAATGGAAAGGAGTGATGCTTCAGGCATGGCAGGCATGGCAGGACAGAACCACACATCACCTCTCCCCACAATTCATCGGAATCCGTCCCCCCACTCCCATCCGTGCAACCTCGCCCTCCCCACGCTCACCGCCACCATGACGTCAAACACCCTGTCGGCCCTGCCTGCCTCCCTTGAGAGGTACTGCAGGCCAGAACCACACGACACTTCTCCCCACCAATCACTGCAATCTGCTCCCCATCGCCGCCCCTGTCCCCCTCCTGCGCTCACCGCCACCATGACGTCAAACATCCTGTCTGCGCCGCGTGCCTCCCTTGAGAGATGCTGCAAGCGAACACCACACACCACCTCTCCCCACCAATCAACGCAATCCGCCCCCCTCCGCCCACCATACGCTCACCGCCACCACAACATCACACACCCTGTCCGCGCCGCGTGCCTTGCGTGAGAGGTGCTGCAAGACAGAGATGCATACCATCTCTTCCCACCATTCACCACCCCTCACCCCCCCCACTGCCTTCCTGCGCTCACCGCCACCACGACGTCAAAGACCCGGTCAGCACCGCGTGCCGCCCTTGAGAGGTGCTGCAGGGTGGTGTACCGCTCCACCGGGGGTAGTGCACGCGGTGGCCTGGGCCCCGCCGCTGCCACTGGTGGGGGGGGGAAGGGAGGAGAGGAGGGATGGGGAGGGAAGCGCGCCCTTGAGAGGTGCTGCAGGGTGGTGTATCGCTCCACCTCAGGCAGCGCACGCGGGGGCCTGGGACCCGCCGCTGCCACTGGTGGGGGGAGAGGGGGAGAGAGGGAATAGAAGGGGTAGGGAGGCCGGGATGGGGAGGGGAAGGAGGGAAGGGTGGCGCAGGCAGGGTCAGGGGTGAAGGCCGAAGGTCCACCAGGGAAGGCAGGCGCGTGGTTGGAGACAGCAGGGAGCAAGGCAAGGCAAGGCAAGGCAGTGCTGGCACTTGCTGCACTGGCAGCATTTCCCATCAACAATCTCACCATCTTGCCCACCTTCACCTGCCCTCACCTGCCCGCACCTGCGCTCACCTGCTCTGATCCGCTCCCCCATGGCCCACATGGCATCAGCGGGTTTCACCACTGCTGCCCTCTGCACCACCTCACCTTCCCAAGACTTTAATCCATTTCAACCACCCCCCTCACCTGCAATCACCCCTCACCTGCCCTCACCTGCTCTGATCCGCTCCCCCATGGTCCACATGGCATCAGCGGGTTCCACCGCTGCTGCCCTCTGCACCGTGCTGCCCCATACCTCACTCGCTGCCCTGCACGCACACAGTGAGGGCGGAGTGAGGGGCAGCACATGTATGTAGCATCGCACATTAGCACAGCAGATACAGCACTGTCCAAGGTGGGTGTAGCATGTGGAAATTATTAGCCTGGGCTGCACCCGTGAGCATGAGCAGGTACCAGGTAGACCCTAAACCCTGGAAGAACAATAGTGCATCTCACTACGTCACGGCACACCCCACCGCATCTCACCGCATCTCACCACATCACGGTGCCAGGCCCGGATCCAAAGTCCAGCAGGGAGGAGGGCGCGAGGGAGGGCAGTCGCCTCTTCACCTGGCGCCAGTGGAGGTATAGGCAGGAGGGGCGGGTGCGGCGGGAGGGAGGGAGGTGCAGAGGCGGGAAGGATAGAAAGAGGGGTGAAGGAAGAAAGGAGGGAATACAGCACGGTGGAGTAAGGTCTGTGTAGGACGCAGAGGGTTGGGTGGCGCTGTTGGTGCGCCGGCCACACACAGCGGGTGAGAGAGCACCCAAGCAACCGTCCCCCCTCTCCCCGATACGCGCAGCCCAAGCTCCCCACCTCAGTGAGAGCGCGGAAGACGGCGGCATAGGTGGAGGGCATGCGCGCAGCCGCGTACGCCAGGGCCTCCGTCTCCCCATACTCCACCGCGCGCCTCCCCCCTTCCCCCCGATCTCGCGCCCCCCCTTTCCCCCTCTCCGCCGCTTCCCGCGCGTCCCCTTCCCCGCCCTCCTCCGCGCCCTTCCCCCACGAGTTCTTCTCCCATCCGCGCAGCAGGCGCACCATCCGCGCGTCGGGGATGCGCCCCACGTCCATTTCGCGCATCAGCGGCGGCTCCCGCGTGTCGTCCGCCAGGCGCTCCGCGGATGGCTGCGGCCACCCGCTGAAGAACGCGTCGTATGCGGACATCAGCCGGCGCACGTCGCGGTGCACGTGCGCGGAACTGGTTGCGCCTGGGGTGGCGGAAGCGTTGCGGGGAGGGAGGAGAACAGGGGGCGGGGCTGGATTGCGGAACTGCGGAAGGCGTTGGGGGAAGGGAAGGCGGGAAAGGCGGATGCTTTCTGAGAAGAGCGTAGCGGGAGGGGGAGGATCGTGACGTCATGGAGCGTGCATGCGCGTCGCGACCTGGCTATAGTAACTACCTTCCGCAACGATGGCTTTAATCGACTGCTGCAGCGCGTTCGGCAGGCACACCTGCCCGATCTCCACCAAGCCTCGGTTCCGAAGCACACGTTCGGGCTGCCGAGCCACGGCGAGCAGCTGCGCCTCCAGCAGCCCCGGCATCAGCATCGGCCCCTTCCGCTTCTTCCACGCCGCGCGCGTTGCGCGGAACGCGCCGCCCCACGCCGCCATCCCGCCGACCGCCCTTTCGAATCTTGCTGCGGGGACCCTACTACCGTCGGATCGCGTGTATACTTTCTGCCTATTGGGTGCAAAAGGCGGCTGGTGCTCAGTGTAGAAGCCTGGTTGATCGAAGGATTGCGATACTGGTGCCTCGATAATGCATCGCATGCCTAACAAATCAGCAACACACAAATCAATAAAGTCAGGAGAAATGTTTTAACTGCATATATACAGATGACACCAATCGAATCAATCGACACAGCGTGTACTAAACAAAGCGTTAATAACGCGATCCATAAGCCACAAAAACAATGCCATTCACCCTAACATCCGTGCGGAATCAGGGCTGGCCTGCCTTGGCTCGTAGCAGAGTGTCGACAACTCGGCTCATCTTGTCCCAGGCGATGGGCTTGCTGAGGAAGCCGTCCATCCCCGCTGCCTCTATCTCCGGCGCCAACACGTCCGCTGTTAACGCGTACACTGGCACTCGCGCTTCCTTTCCTGGCAGCTTCCTGATCTCGCGCGTGGCCGTCAAGCCATCCTGGATGGTCGTGTGATGGGAACATGGGAGAGGAGAGGGGAGGCTGGCGGATGAGCGATGTGCCCAGCAATGGACATGTAGCATGCATGACGCATTGGGCTAACGTATGTGGCGTGTGTAGAACCACTCAACGTCATGTGATCCTATACGGCCATAGCTCACCATGATGGGCATCTGAATGTCCATGAGAACAAGGTCGAATGGCTGTGCTTGCACTGCCTCCACTGCCAGCCGCCCATTCAGCACCAGTGTCACCTGCCATGCCATGCCATGCCAGGGAGAGTGCCGTTGCAATGTGGCAAAACAGTAACACCAGCAAATCAAATGATGCAAGTTGATTGTAGAAAGCTCTGCTATTCTGGAGCCACATCGATCGGCCTCCCCTTAAAGGTCCCAAGTCTCCCAACAGTGATTCCCAGAACGCAAGCCATCCAGCAGCGCTCGTGGATAGCGCTGCACCCCTCAAGCTCATTTCGTGCCCATCTCACCTCGTGCCCGTAGTGTTGCAGCATCTTGCGAATGAGCATCTGGTTCACCCTGTTGTCCTCCGCCACCAACACCCGCAACTTGCCGCCGCCTCCCCCTGCCGCCTCTCCACCCGCCGCACCTCCTCCTGCTGCTGCCACTGCTGTACCCGCACCACTCACTGCGCCCGTCACTCCTGCTGCTCCCCCGTCTGCCCGTTTAGCTGCTCCCACCTCCTTCCCTCCTGCTTCGCCTCCTGCCTTTTCTCCAACCCTGCCCTCTGCCTGCTCACCTGCCTCCCCACCCTTGCCACCCGAACCAACCACCCCTGCTCCTGCAGCAGCAGCAGAGCCAGCAGCAGCAGAGCCAGGAGCAGCAGCAGCGGCGGCAGCAGCCGCAACCTGCTTCTGCTGCTTGAGCGTGGCGTTCTTAGCGTGCAGCAGCGAGTGCACAACGAGGCTCATCTTGTCCCAGGCGATGGGCTTGCTGAGGAAGCCGTCCATCCCCGCCGCCTCTATCTCCGGCGCCAACACGTCCGCCGTCAGCGCGTACACCGGGACTCGCGCCTCGCTTCCTGGCAGCTTCCTTATCTCGCGCGTGGCACTCAACCCATCCTGGGGGCAGGGGGGAGGGGAGCACGGAGGCTTCAGAAGAATGGCAGCAGCAGAACGGAGTGGAGAAACAGTGGGACAGGCGGAGGCCGCGCAGGGTAAGTCCTGGAACGAAAGGGCATGAGCAGGGAGTGTACGGACCAATGGGACATGGCTGACTCACCAGCACGGGCATCTGCAGGTCCATGAGAACGAGGTCAAAGCATTCCTTCTGCACGGCCTCCACTGCGAGCCGCCCGTTGCCCACCACGGTGACATCGTGGCCGTAGTGCTTGAGCAGGCGGCGGATGAGCAGCTGGTTCACCTTGTTGTCCTCCGCTACCAACACACGTAGGCTCCTGCACTCCTCCTCCTCCTCCTCCTCCTCTTCCTCTTCCTCCGACCCCTCCTCCCCCTCCGCCTCCCTTTTCTCTTCCCCCTCTCTTCCACCCCCCTCGGCCCCCTCCACCTCCATTTTCGTCGCCAGCGTTTGCCTATCCCCCTCCTCTCCCTCCTTCCTCCCAACCAGGACAGGGGAGGGGGAGCGCCGGCCTGCCCCCAGGGGGGAGGCGGGGGGGCCGCCCTTGGCGGATGGGGGGAAGGGGGCGGACGCGGGGAGGAGGGGGAAGAGGGCGAAGGCGTGGGTGCCTTTGGACGGCTGGGATTTGATCCAGAGGCGCCCGCCCATCAGCGCCAGCAGCCCGTGGCTGATGGCCAAGCCCAACCCCGTGCCGCCCACTCCCCTGTGCACATGGGAATCAGAGAGCGTGGAGAGCAGGGGGGGTGGAGGGAGAGAGAGGGGGAAAGACTACGAAGCAAATGAGGGGAGTGCACAAGGGAGGATGTGATGGATGGAGAAAAGCGAGAGTCTTGCCCTCAACCCACGCCCCACCCTTGCCTCATCTCACACTCACCCCCTCTGAGCGCCGGCCTGAGCCATGAAGAGCACCTGCTGCACCTCCTCCTCCGCCATGCCCTCCCCCTCGTCCGCCACACACACCTCGTACCACACCCGCTCCCGCTCCTTGCCCACCTCCCCCTTCCCCTCGCCCTCTCCCTCCTTCCCCACCTCCTCTCCCTCCTTGGCCACTTCCCCCTGCTCCTCCTCTCCATCCTGATCCCCTTCCTCCTCCATCTCCTCACCCTCTTCCCCCCTCTCCCCATCCCCCTCCTCGCTCCCCTCCTCGGCCTCCTCCCCTCCATTCCCCTTTTCACCGCCCTCCTTCTCCCCCATACTCCCCCCAGTGTCTCTCCTTCCACTGCCAGAACACCCCCCATCGCCCACAGCAGCCACCACCTCCCCGATAGTCACAACCGTCTCTGCTGCCCCGCTACTGGCATCCCCGCTACAAGCTCCCCGAGCAACATTTCCTTCCCCACGCCCCCTCCTGCTTGAATCACCCCCAATAGCACCTTCACCCTCCAGCTTTCCCCCCTCACTCCTCCCCCCACCCCAGGCAACGCTCCCCCCATCCTCCCCCTTGCCCCGCCTGCCCCCCTCCGCCATACCAGCGGAAGCATGCCTCCTGAGCGCGCGCTCCCGCTGCTGCACGCCCCTCCCCATGCGCCCCACCACCTCATCCGCCCCGGCCCGCCCCGTACTGCGCCTCCTCACCAACCCCCCTCCCCCCTCCCCCCGCGCCCCACTCCCCCGCCGCACAATCACGTCCCCCGACCCGCCCCGCAGTAACCCAGCCGCCCCCACCCTCCCCCCCAGCCCCTCACACACGCCCGTGCCCACATGCACTGACCCGTCCTGTACAATGCCATCCGTTACAGTCACGTCCTCAAAGCCATGCAGGCGGCCCACGGGTTGCTGCAGCGAGCGCAGCCACTGCTGCGCCTCTGAGCTCGCCCGCACACTCACCCTCCCCACGTCCTCCTCTCCTGCTGCCCGCCCCCCCTGCCACACCACACGCAGCGGGCTGGCTGGGGGGCGGAGAGACGGGAGGCACGGGGACGGGGTAGTGGGTGTGGGAGGGATTGCGGGGGTGCTGGGTGTGAGGTAAGTGGTGGGGACAGGTGCTGCTGCTGTAGCAGCGGCAGCTGTAGCAGGAGTGGTGGTGGCTGCAGCTGTAGCAGGTGCAGGGAGTATGTCCCCACACAGCATCTCCACGTCAGCTGCCAAGTCAGAGCCTGGCCTGTCATCCAGCACGACAACATCCGCCACGTCAGCAGACACACTGCTGCCCCCGGAGGGTCTGAGCGGCCCGGAAACCGGCATGAAAGGTTCACCCAGCAGCATTGCCACGTCAGCAGCTGACTCAATCACTCCTGCATCTTCCCCCTCTCCCACTCCTGCTCCCTCTCCTCCCATCACTCCCCCCGTCCCTCCCAATCCCCCCCCTCGTGCGCTCAGTGCCCCCCCATCGCACTCACCCATCCACTCCATCCGCCCTCCCGCCCCGCTCCCACTGCCCCAACTCCCACTCTGCCCCAACCCCAAGCCTGCATCCATCGCCGAGCCTGCAGGCCCCTGCGTCTCCTGACCAGCCGTCAGCCACCCTCCAGCTGCACTTCCAGCAGCATTAGCAGAGCCCAGCACTCCACCTGTAGCGCCCCCACCGGCAGAAGCACCAGCCCCACCAGCAGCAGTAGCAGCAGCAGCAGCTGCAGCAGGACCTCTTGGCAGGACACTGCCTGCTGCTGACGCTGACTCGAAGCTGGCCAGGTAGGGCGCGGGCAGGGACGCGAGCTGCGGGGGCAGGGAGGAGAGGTTCGGCGGAAGGGAGGGCGCGGAGTGCAGAGCAGAGCAAGGGGCGGAGCGAGGAGCGGGTTGCAACACTCGGGTGAGGTCAGCTGAGCCAGACCCCCCAGAGGTGTCGTGCAGGCGAGTGACCCGCGTGCGGTGAGTCAGGTCTGCTGATAGCCGCCTTGCCAGCAGCCGCGGCTGCTGCTGCTGCTGCTGCTGCTGCTGCTGGTGTTGCATGCCCGCTGCTGCTGCGCACGGGGCTGGAGGGGAAGCCACCGGATGAAGTGCCTTGACGCTGCACTGAGGGTGCACAGGGCCCAGAGGAGAGGTTGCCTTCCTGGCCGGCAGACACGCTTCGCGGCACTCGCACTCCCTGCCCGCCTGCCCCCCCCCACCCTCCACTCGCTGCCTGCTTGCGACCCTGCCTCGCTCCCTCGCTAGACCCCTCCCTGCTTTCCCCCCGCCCTCTCTTCCCCCTTCCCCACATCCGCCCGCGCTTGCTCTCCCCCCATCTTCCCCCATCCGCCCCTTTGCCCTCGACCCCACTGGTGCTGCCAGGGGAAATAAGCGCCCCTGCTGCCCCGGCTATCCCCCCAGCCTCTACTGCCCCTGCTGCCCCTGCAGTCGCTGCTGCCCCTCCTGACCCTCCTGCCCCTGCTGCCCCTGCTGCCCCTGCTGCCCCTGCTGCCCCTGCTGCCCCTGCTGCCCCTGCTGCCTCCGCAGCCTCTGGTGTGTCTGCAGCAGCAGTGCTATCGTCTGCACGAGCAGACAGCGAGGCAGCAAGCGAGTGTGAGTGTGACTGTATCGAACGACTGCCCGACTCCATTGGGCTCCGGCCTTCCCCCTCCTGCCCCAACTCCTGAACCCCCTCCTGCCCTCCCCGTTGCTCCCCCGTCCCTCCCTGGTCCCCTTTCTGCCCCTCTCCCACTGTCTCCGCGTCCACCTCCCTACTCTCTGTGCATTCCTGCTCCGCACTGCCACCATCGTTGTAACCAGACGCAGAGGGCTCTGATGCAGAGGGGAGGGGCACAATGCGCCAGGAGACGGTGATGGTGCCTCGCTTGGAGAACTTCACCGCGTTGCTCACCAGATTCGCCACCACCTGCCGTGTGCGTGTGCGTGAGCGGGGAGGGAGAGGGAAAAGGGTGGAGAGGGGCGGAGGGGAGGGGGCGGAAACAGTGAGGAGTATGGAGCGGATGGGAACAATGCAATGCAGAGGAGAGGTGAAATCAGCAGCGGGTTCTTGCAAAGATGCACGGATGCAGAAGTTGATGCGAGCATGCTATGCTGGCTGCAACAAATCATGTGCTTCGCTGTTCCCTTCATTCATCTCCGTAGCAGCCCTCACCTGCCCGCCCAACCCACCTGCTTGACGCGCACGGGGTCGCCACAGACGAAGAGAGCATCGGGGGGCGGCGGGTGGATGACCAGACGCATGCCCTTGTCCTGCACTGCCTGCTCGAACAGCACCACCACCTGCATGCAGAGACGGAAGAGGGGAGAAGGTGAGATACAGAGCCTTGCCCTCTGCTGCCTGCCTCTCAAATATGGCACAGCACGGACTGACTCGATCATGGCACCTGAGTACTTCTGAGATGCCTCAAACGTCAGCAGGTACCTGGTCCAGAAGGCACGTACCTGGTCTAGGAGGGCTGAAATGCTGAAGTCAATGGATTCGAGCAGCAGCCTGCCCGCCTCCATCTTGCAGAAGTCAAGGATGTTGTTCAGCACCGTCATCAGCCCGTCCGCTGACGCCTGCATCAGCTTCAGCACGCCGTGCTGCTCCTCACTCATCTCCGTCAACCGCAGCAGATCCAACATGCCCAGCACGCCTGCGACCATGGGGGCCGGTGGGGGTTGGTGGAAGGAGGTGAGGGAGGGTAGTGGGCAAAGCTGCGCCTTGCTCATCTCCGTCAGCCGTCCAGCATGCCCAGCACGCCTGCGGTGGTGGGGGGAGGTTGAGGGGGCAGGTGCGGTGGTGAAAAGAAGGTTAGCAGCGATGCCTCGCCACAACCTCACCCACACACTGACTTACACCCACACATCCATACCCACTCACTCTCACCCAACCACACCATCTTCAACTCCCACCCACCCACCAGTCATGGGAGTGCGCAGCTCGTGGCTCATGGTGGCCAGGAACTGCGACTTGGCGCGGTTGGCGGCGGCGATGGCTTGCCTGGCGCGGCGGTCGGCAGTGACGTCTTCAAAGAGCCACAGGCGGCCGTGCGCGGAGGTGGTGTGTGCTGCCACGGGGTACGAGTGCACGCGCAGCACCATGGGCGGATCCCGCAGCTGCCACTCCTCCTCTATCTCCGTCTCCACTGCCCCCGCTACCATGCTGAACCACCTGTGGGGGAGAAGGGGTGGGGAGACGGAGGGAGGGGGTTTGAGAGGGAAGGGGAGGGTAAGCGAGGGGCTGGTTAAACTCGCTTAACTTGCAGCACAAGGAGGGGGGGACCCGATGGTTTGCGACAAATTGTTCTCTAGTCCAAAAGGAGAGAAGCGGAGGAGGATGCTGGAGGGTCTGCGGTGCTGGCACTTGCCTGTGCAGGTCGGGGCGGTTACCGCTCCTCTCGGCGAGCTGGCGCATGGCAGTTGCGACCTTCACGGGGTCCACCTCCCCGAAGCACGGCAGATCCAACAGATCCGCCGCTGCTGGGTTCACCACCACCTGAGGGGGACGGGGGGAGAGGGGTGGGAGGCAGGGCAGGGAGGAGGGACGGAGGGGAGAAGGCAAGGAATGTTATGGGTATGCACGGGCATGAGCACTGGCATGCGCATGCATGGAGTGGGAGCACGGGCACTCACCTGAGCCGAAATGCTGCTGGTGAGCCAACAACCCACCTGAGCCAGCTCGTCATCCACAAACACGACGGCCTGCGGAATGCGCTTGAGAATGGCGTCAAACTGCTGCCCCAGGCGCGCAGACTGGCAGGCAGGGCCGCACAGGCATGCATGGGTTTGCACACAGAAGGGGCACACACCCACTCACCTGTGCGAGCTCATCGTCAACAAAAACAACAGCCTGCGGCATGCGCTTGAGGATGGCGTCAAACTGCTGCCCCAGGCGTGCAGACTGGCGCGCGGAGATGCGGTTGGCCATGAGCAGCGGCATCGTGTGCGCCGCACGTGCCATCACCTCCTCCACCGTCGCTGGCACCTTGGAAGGGTCGCTCCATAGCGCGTACAGCACACCCCGGTAGCTGCTCGGGGGGGAGAAAGAGGTGAGGGGGGAGGGGTGGGGGGGTGAGAAGAAGGACCCAGGAGGGAGGGAGGAGGGGAAGGGAAGTGGAAGACAGCGTGGGGTGGGGGAAGCAGTGCGGCGGGGGCAGGTGAGAGCGGGAAGCAGGTCGTGCTTTGGAGGGCGTGCGAGCATGGAAGCAGGAGTGCGGGGCAGCGAACAGTGAGTGAGGGTACAAAGGCCAGCAAGGGAGGCTCCCGATCCAATGAACTTTTGTGAGACGGGCCAATGCGACGCACTCACGTGTGCAGAGCACAACGGTAGTAAGCTACCCATGCATGCACGCACCTGTGCAGGCGCACGAATCGGCCCATGAAGCGGCGGGGGCGGCAGCCCAGCACATCCTCGATGATCGCAGGCAGGTGCAGCCCCGCCGTGCTCACCACCTGGGAATGGGGGGTTGGTAATGGGCGCACGGGAGAGGGATGCGTGGGGGAATGGGCGCATGGGGGGGATTGGAGAGACATGGGGACAGGGGGGTCTATGGGGGAGAGAACGGACGCAGGGGTGGGGCATGGGAAGCATGACTACCTTGTGTCGCTGGCACGCCTTCATCATTACCTTGTGTCGCTTGCACGCCTTCATCATTACCTTGTGTCGCTGGCACGCCTTCATCATGCGCCTACAGAAGGGAACCATCTCCGGCACAACCCCCTTGGGCGTCGATAGGATCGACTCCGCCACCCGCACCACCTCCATTTCCCCCCGCCTCCCCCGCGCGCTCCCCCTCCCGCTCCCCCTCCCCCCTCCCCTTCCGCCCCCCTCGTCGCGGCTGTCACATCTCCCTGCGCCCTCTTCCCCGCCTCTTCCCCCTCCGCGGAAGACCGTTCCGCTGCGCCTCCCCATGCCCTCCCGGCTGCAGAACCCTCCGCTTTCCCCGTACCCGCTAACATCCCCTCCGCTACTGGCGCATGCGCCAAACTCCCCGGACCTGTCCGCGCTGGCGTCCGCGCCAAGCGAATGCGCGCCGAAGGCGGGCGCAACGGGGGAGAAAGCAGCGCCGGGAAAGAGAGGCGCAGGCGCGGGGGGAGCGCCTGCAGCAGCGGCGGCTTCGTCCGCCGCCTGCGCCATATCCGCGACTGTGGGGCCTGGCGGAGGCAACAGTACCGCCATTACGACCACGTCAGCTTCTAGTGACGTGGCTATGACCTGGAGGACGGTCTGCGGGAGATGGACCGACGCGCTTCCGGGACTCCCGGAGGGAGAATCGACTCCTAGAAGTTGCCGAACTGGCCTGCGCGACACGCCGTCTCCGTCTAGCATGTCCACGTCAGCGCCGTCCACGTCATCGTCCTCGCGCGTGACGAGGCTGAGAAAATCCCCCTCCGCGGGACGAGGCTCGTCGTCGCCTTCCGCCGGCAGGTTGACGTGGCTCCAGCCGGCGAGAGGGCCCGGCACGCCGAGAGTGGCCTCGAGATTCGCGCCGATGTCGCCGGCTAAGATGCCGGCTCCGTACGACAGCAGCGACGCCATGAGCGACGTTGGCGAAGAATGAATGAATCCCGGATTATTCGGAGGAGGCGCCAAGCTTGCGCTTTCCGAAAGCGGATAGGACAGGCGAGAAACGACGGCAACCTGACGGCGACCCGGCAGGACTGTATGACAATTACAGTAGGTTCACATCAGTAGAACGCTATATCGTTTTCCTCTTTGGATTGTATTTACATCATGGTCGCGACTCCATTGATGCTTTGGAAGACTCGTTAAAGCCAGGGTCTCAAGTAAGCAAAGCAGCCATCAACTGCAAAGCAGTTGAAGATAGGTTACCTTGTTAGTGCAGGCGAATTTCTCTTTGGTTGGGTTGGAAACCTTCTCCCGTCAGTGCCTCAAAAGCAATTGCACAACAAGTTTTGAGTACGTGACTTTCGACGAGTCTGGGGCATTTTAGGTTTGGTTCCGAACCAAATTTACAAACCTAGGAGGTTCGGCTACACCTAGCGATTTGGATTCGTTTCGTACCCCTCGCTTCACCCCTCTTCAAACTTCACAACTCGCCAACCAATCACACACAAACTTGCACTGTCGACTGCAAAACACTTGTAGTACATAAGACCCTGGCTTTAATAATGATCAGTCTTTCCTAAGGAAAAAATGTCATGGTAGAATTGGCATACTCTTTTATAAATGCTAACCTTACAAGCACACATATGCTCAGCCCGCTGCACCGGCGTCACTTCATGCTTTAGGCAATGAAATACAGATAGACGTTTGCAGTCTCTGGGCAAAGCAGTGCGTTGCAATAAGACACCACTCATGGAACCTTGTCGAAAAGGCCAACCAAACCGCTATCGTGCATGGTGTGGCGGCACCTAGAAGGGCTGGTTGCGACACTCTCGCAGGATCACAGGGACGCTGGATGTGGGCACCTGGTAGGCAGGCAGGCACATGGGGAGGTGGCATGCATGGGGGAGGCAAGGCTGGTGATTAGGAGATGGATGCAAGGATGGGTGCATTGGATGGTATATGGCACGTGCATGTAATTGTGCATGTTGCATGTGGCAAGGACCATGGCATGTGGCATGGGGCATGGGGCATGGGGCATGGCATGAAGCATGTGGCACGGGGCATGGCATGGGGCATGGGGCATGGCATGGGGCATGGGGCATGGCATGGGGCATGGGGCATGGCATGGGGCATGGTGAAGGTGCATCTCACCACGCCAATCTCAGTGACAATGCCCGTGATGTAGTCTGCTGGTGTGAGATCAAACCTGCTCATGCCCACACCCACGCACCCATGCATCCACACACCCGACGCACCGCAACCATGCAAGCACACATGCAAGGAGGCACGCATGCCAAAAAATTACATGCAAACTCACACATGTATGGACAGATGCAAAACAAGGAGCAACATACCGAAGGGGAAAATTATGAGGGGATTGTGATGAGGATGAGAGGGAGAGGGAGTGTGTCAAGAGGACGTGTGGGAGAGGCCGCGAGAGGGTGACACAGTGCAAGTGTAGGCAGTGAGAGGGTAGGCAGTGCGCGGGTAGGCGGTGAGAAGGTACTGGATATTGAGGGGGCGCAGGTTGGGTGTGCTCTGCCAGTGCTGCAGCGGTGGCGCCTCCGCCGCCTCTGATGCTTCTGATGCGTCCGATGTCAGTGGTGAGGTTGGAGAGAGCGGTGAGACGCCCGTGCTGATGAGCACTTGTGGATCGCCTGTTTGGGGGGGCGTTGTGAGGGGAACAAGTGATGAAGGACTGGGGCTAGGGGCTGGAAGATGGGGCGAGGTGCAGAGGATAGCAATGTACAGCAGAGAATATGGAGTCAACGCATGTGAATGCAAGTCAACAAAATTCATCGTGAGTGAGTGCACCGATCTCGTTGTGGGTGATGGAGTCGAGTTGCACGCGCTCGTGGAACTTGCTGGACTCGCAGCACACCAGCACGGGCACGCGCTGTGCATGAGCCATCATTGCCACCGCTGCCGTCCCCACCCTCGCATACGCTGCCCCGTTCGCTAACACTGCTGCAGCCCCCAGGAAAACACGTGTCACGTCCTGATAGTTGCAGGAAGAATTTGGGTTGAGAGAGAGAAGAGGGTGAGAGGGAAGAAGGTAACTGAAGTGAAAAATGAACGCCACTTTGTCACATGTGCTGAGCAAAGGCAATGTAGATCGAATAGTTCTATCTATCACCCTCTCTGCTGTCCAGCCGCTGCCCCACCTTCATGATGTACGATGCGGCGTTGAGGCGCAGATAGAGACAAGAGATGCCGCCCGCGAGCAGGCGACGCAACATCTCCTTGCCCTCCAGGTGTGGCCGTGAGTCCACCACGATGGCTCTGAACCTGTGCCCTGCCCGCGCTGCTGACAGCAGCACCTGCACGGGCAGGGAGAGGAAGGGGGAGAGGAGAGGAAGACCTTGGGATATAAAAGAGAGAACGGTCTTGGTTTTCCACTACCATTGTCATTACCAATAACATTGACATTACCATTATCACAATCATTGCCAATACCAATACCATTACCATTACCATTACCACTACCATTACCACTACCACTACCATTACCATTACCATTACCACTACCATTACCACTACCACTACCATTACCATTACCATTACCATTACCATCACCATTACCATTACCATTACCATTACCACTACCACTACCATTACCAATACCAATACCATTACCCCTACCATTACCGTTACCATTACCATTACTGTTACTATTACCACAACCATTACCATTACCTCTACCATTACCGTCACCATTACGTTACCATTACCATTACCTTTACCATTATCGTACCATTACGTTACCACTACCATTACCGTTAACATTACCACAACCACAACCATTACCATTACCGTTACCATTACCATTACCATTACCATTACCTACCATTACATTACCATTACGTTACAACTACCATTACCACTACCATTGGTAGTTGATGTGCATGTACGAACATGGTCACCTGCTTGCAACTCTGGCAAGCCGCCTGCAGCAGCGTTGGCAAGCCAGCCTAGTGAGACGCTGGCAGGCCGTTATCGTGGGTGTGTTGGCAAATTGTCATCCGAAGACACTTATCAAGCTTCCCTAGCTCTATAAAGAAGTGTTGGCTAGGGTGGACGTCTAAGACCGTTCCTCACCGCTCCTCACCACCCTCCACCGCGCCTCACCTCCAGCACGAGTTCGGACCACCCAAAGGTGAGAATCACATCGCCCTCTCTGCGTATCTTCCCTGCAGCATGGCGCACCACCTCCTGCCCGGCGAACACCAGCTTCTCCGCCACAAACCGGTCGATCTCCGCCACCACCGCCGCGCGCGCCGCGCCCTCCTGCACGCCCGGGTCCGCGCCCATGCGCGTGAGGCACTGCTTCAGCGCTCGCACCGCGTTGCCCATGCCGACAGAGAGAGGCCGGCAGGCGATGAGGAAGGCCACGTGCGCGTTGAGGCGCGCGGTGAGGTCGCGGATGGGCGGGCGGGCGTCGGGCACGCGGTGGTCGAGGAAGAGGCGGCGCAGCGCGTGCAGCATGGCCAGGCACCGCTCGTTGCCCCCCTGCAGGCGCTGCTCCTGCTGTAGGAAGCGCATCCCCACCTGGCGATTGGGCAAAGGAGCGGCGCTTGGAGGATGATGTTTGGTACGGGAGGGTGCAGAGGTGCAAAAGGGATTTCACCCCATCCCTCCTCGCCGTTTCCCTTTCCCCTCCCAGACACATCCCACCCCCTCAAGCACACTTCATAGACGGCGGGATGCACAGAGAAGGGGGAGTCTTCCTTGTCCAGCAGGGTTCAGAGGTACACGAGGCATCCCAACCCACCGCACCCCATCTCACTCCACATGCACGCACCTCATAGACGGCGGGGTGCACGGAGAGCGGACTGTCCTCCTCGTCCAGCAGGCGTGCCTCCACGAGAGCGATCTGAGCCGCCCGGTCAAACTGAGGCAGGTGCCGGAACAGATCCACGCGCAGCGACGAATCCACTGCTGCCACGTCAGCCATCAGCTGCTGCCACCCCCCGCGGAGCGAGCTCGACTTGTGCTGCCCGTCCTCCCCTCCCCGCCCTCCCCCTCCCTTTCCCCCGCCTCCTCCTCCCCCTTTCTGTGCGCCAGCCACGCTCCCACTGCTGCTCCGCCCACCCCCCTCCGCGTCCCCTCCCCCTGTCCCTGCAGCAGACACGGCAGCGGATTCCCCGCTTGCCCTCCTCCCTCCTCCCTGCTGCCCCTCCTTCCCCTTCCCACCCTTGCCCCCTCCTCCGCCTGCCCCCCCTGCGCCCTTCCCGCCTGGACGGGCACACAGGCAGAGAGCAGCGAGGGGCTGGCGACAGGTCAGACCATTGAATGGCATGGCATGGCACGGCAGGATGGGCATAGGCATGGAATGGCATGGCATGAGGTGCATGCATGTGGACACATGGTCCTGCCATGTTTTCTGCAGCAGCAGCAGCAGCAGCACCAACAGCAGCCTTGGCAGCGCGCCCTATCTCTGCACTCTGCACTCAACGAGCCATGCTCACCTTTACCACCGCCGCCACCACCACCACCAGCGGCAGCAGCTTTGGCAGCGCGCTGGGCCTCCTGCAGGGCGCGCCTCTCCGCCTTGGACGTCGGCTTCTTGCCCCCCGCCCTCCCATCCATCACCGCTGCACCAGGGAGGGCGGAGAGCGGGTGGGAGCGTAGAGGGGGAGAGTAGTTTTGAGGCGCCTCAAATGCATTCTTGCCGCCCGCCCGCTGCCACTGCCCAGCGGGCGGAAGGGCAGAGGCGGTGGGGAGAGGGGGAAAAAGAGGTTGTGGGGGAAACTGGCGGAAGGGGAGTGGTGGATGGAGGGAGAGCAGTGGGGAGGCAAGGGCGGGCGGGGCTGATTCTATTGCAATGGGCGATTCCACATGCCATGATGTCGCGCTACCCCATCCGCGACCCCCGCACTGGCTCCCCCCCTGCTAGCCTGGTGCCAGCACGCACTGGGCAGGGACGCGGGTACAACAGCAGACGCGGCTTTGGCGGCGCCCCGCACGCCAAGACTCCCCGCGCTACGTGGACTCCCCCCCGCGCTGCTGCTGCTGTTCGCTGGTGACCTCCCCGCGCCCGCTGCCCCCCCCGCCGCTCCGACCGCCCCTCCCCCCACGGAGGCCGCCCCCCGCCCTTGTGCGCCCGCGCCCGCGCCCGTCTGCTCCCCTCCCCTGGGTTTAGCGCCATCCGCCGCTTCCTGCTGCGCCGCCGCCGCACCCGCGCGGGCGACAGTGGCGGCGGAAACAGAGAGGATTGGTCCGCTGACGTCAGACACGGACCCGAACACCGCGCCAGACGGGGCCGCTGACGTGGCGGACGACGATAGGTAGGAATCGTCAGGCGGGAGACTTTCGGAGCACTCGCTGCCCTCCGCGATGGGCGACGGGCGCTGGTACGACGGCAGCGGCACGTTAATCGGCAGCGACGGCATCGGCGGGACTGACGGCACGAACGGCGGCGACGGCGACGCGGACGCGAGGAACGGCAGCGGCGGCAGTCCGTCGCCGTCGGCGGCGGCCGCGGAGGGGTCTCGCGCGGGCTGTGCGCCGGACTGGCCGGCGGCGGGTGCGGCGGAGGGCGCGAAGAAGCCGACCTGGCGCACGATCGGGTCGTTGTGCGCCGCGCGCCCCGAGTGATCCATCGCACGCTGCCCCTCGCTACCTCTCGGACTAGCGAATCGTGCTATCCTATGCGATTCGTCGCGGCCTCTGCGGCTCACTCGCTCGCTAACTGCCTCGCCGCCTCTCGTTCGCACGCTTTGTCGCGCTTCACTGGCTGGCTGCTCGCCGTGCGCTCGCGCTACGCGCCCAATGGAGCGCTGGTGCCTCCGCCGCGCGAGGAGCGACCGAGGACCGACCGGGCAATCGAGAATGCGCCTAGAGAATGACGGCGATGCGAATGGGGGGAACCAATGGCGTGGCTGCAGAGTGGAGGCGAGGGCGTAGGGATTTATCGTGCGACAGTTTATGGTGGCTATTGTTTTATATCCTCGATAGTGGGTTCACGGAGCTTTAGAGGAAACCTGTTACGACAAATAGATGTGGTCTGTGAATGCTGGTTAGAGCACATTTTAATGTACACATGTTCATGTACCCTTTGTTTATCACCAAGAAAAAAATTGCTTTCAGATCAGCAACAAATACATGGGCTCGTTAAAATACAGCCATAGGAAACGCCAAGCGCCACCCTAAGCCAGCTCGGAATGCCCAATACAGCATCTTTGCTGCAAGGGGTGTGAGACCGCTTGAGCTGCGGTTTCTGTATTTGGTTGGAGGATGGAGTGACTGAAATGAAAGGGTGGCTATTTCTGTATTTTGTGGATGGTGCGTTGCCACGTGCCGGTGCTGGGCACGAAGCGCAGCTCCCAGGTGGGCCAGTAGTGCAGGTCCTGCTTCAATGTCAGCACCCGCGGCTTGCCATTCAGATGCACCACCTTCACCCTCACAAACGCCCCGTGCTCCAACTCCTGCCAGGCGGAGAGGGGGAGGGAGGAGAGGGGGGAAGACAGGAGGAAGCAAAATGGTGACTTTGCGTTGACCGGGAATCTGACGTGTTTCATCTCCAGATGGGCAGAATAGAGGGAGACGGATGGTGGTGGGAGGGAGAGAGAGCAGCAACGAAAAACACGTGATTGCAACGAAAAATGGAATGGAGCAGATTGGCACAAAGGGGAGGCGGAAGGGGCTATTGCCATCACCTTTTACTATATCCCCCAGCTGCCCATCAAGCCTCACCTGGCTGATGGCAACCAGAGCATCGAGGTCCGGCACGGGACGGCCGTTGATCTCCACGATCCAATGGAGCGCGTACAGCCCGTAGCGGTGCGCTGGGCTGCCATGGCACCACCTGAGAATGTGGGCGTGGATGGCAAGGAGAGGGAGTGAGCTTAGGTAAATGGAGGAGAGGGAACGGGTTGAAGACATCCCAAATCAGATTCATCGACTAAACCACACAACAGCAACCCTGTCTCCCGGTTTCTCCAGCCCACCTGGCAACATAAGCACCATGGCCCTGCGAGGGCAGGAAGCCGGTGGCTCTAACAGCAGGGTGGGGGTCCTGCACGACTTATGAGACATCTAAAACTCACCGCATACCACGCCCCAGCCCACCTGGCAACATAAGCACCATGGCCCTGCGAGGGCAGGAAGCCGGTAGCTCGCACAGCGGGGTGGGGGTCCTGCACGAGGCAGCCCGCCCAGTTCACCACTCGCGTCGTGCCGAACCCGTGCCGCACGTCCGTGCCCGCCTGCACCTGCTGCTCCCTGCCCTGCCGCAGTATCGTCAGACTCAAACACGCCCGCGCCGCCTCCCCTGCTGCTGCCGCCTCCCCTGCATTCTCCTTCCCACCTGCGCTTCCTGGTGCCTCTACTGCAGCCTCCGCTGTACCATTCGCTGCACTCATCTCTGCTCCTGCTGCCGCCGATCCCGTAGGCTCCCTGCCCCCTGTCTCACTCACATGCCCATTCCCAGCGCCCTCTCTCCCGCCGCTCCCCCCATCCCCCGCCACCACCCCTGCATCCAGCTCACAGCAGGCAGCTTCCACATCAGCAAAACACGTGACAGGACGGCCATTGACAGCGAGCAGCATGTCGCCCTGCTGCAGCACGCCAGCCACAGCAGACCCCGCCAGGGTCCCCTTCACGCGCAGCACCTGCCGCCGCACAGGGTCGGCACTCGCCAGCACGTGCACCCACTGCTCTGACAGGCCGAAGCTGCGTGCTTTGGAGAGAAGCATGGGGGCGAGCTCTGCTTCTAGCACGCGCACGTGCGGCATGGCCCACAGCCGTCCGTTCATCAGCAGGCTGTTGTCTGCCCCTGCGCCCGCCTCATGCTGACGCTCGCTGGCCTTGCCACCCTCCTCCTGCGCCTCTGCATTTCTTGTCCCCTCGCCTGATTCTTTTGCCAGGCCGTTACTTTTGACGTGGGGCACGATGGTGGGAGCGGGTGTGGGAGCGGGAGCGGTGGGTGGGAGGGGCCGGAGGGGCTTGGAGGGGGGGGCGTGGATGATTTGGTGGAGGGCGGAGGAGATGAAGGAGATGGGCAGCCCGCGCACAAACTGCAGATCGTCCGTTCCGCCATCCCCGTACTTCAGCTGTGGGGAGGAGGGGACAACGGATGTGAGAGAGGATAGGAAGAAGGAGGAGAGAAACGAATACACCAAGTTCAGATACTGATAATTGGAGGAAGAAACGAGAACGTGAGGAAGCTCAGAACACAGAGGGAGAAAGAATGCGATGCACTAAAGGGGAGAAGAGTAAGGCAAGGGAAAAGGAGAGGAGGGAGGAGAGGAGGGAGGATGGGAGGCGGAGCAGGGCAGGGGCGTACGAAGGTGGAGAATGAGCCCCAGAGGGCTCTCACGGCGCCTGAGTCGTCCGCCAACACGCCCGAAAAGGACTGCCCGAAGTCTGTGAGACACACAGTGCAGTGCACGGGGTGGATGGGGTGGATGGGGTGGATGGGGTGGATGGGGTGGAGGGGGTGGATTGAGGTGAATGGGCTGTATACTGCCACCCCATTGAACCGCACTGAACTCACCGGTGTCAATCTCCACGACGTCCATATTAATGGCTCGGTACCGCGGGCAGTCAGCAGCGCTCACAGTGAGCGTGGCAGTGGGGTTGGTGACAACAGACTGCCGGGACGTGACGGCCTGGCTGCGGCTGAGCCCCACCAGGTGCACTCGGTCACCCCGCCGCAGCGGGGGGGAGGGCTTGAGCGTGGCGGCCTTCACTGCCGCCGCTGCTGCTGCTCCGAGCGCTGATGGGTCGTAGGCTACAAAGGCAAAGTTGTGCACAGGGTGCAGGAACACCACCTGGGCAAGGGGGGGAGAGGAGAGGGGGCAGAGGTGAGTTTGAAAGGTGCGGGTTTAGGTGTGGTGTTTCGGACAGAGGGAGAGAGGAAGGGCGTGTAGCACAGATGGGAGAGGAGATAGACACTGGCAGATGATTAGATGGACGCTGCTTGAGGGGGGTGGGCACTGACCTCCCCGGGGACCTCGACAGGGTAGGCGGAGAAGGAGAGCATGATGTCAGAGACGGAGACAGCGACGGTGTTGCGGTCCACCACGATGAGCCCCAGCTGTGGCGTGTGGTGCACCACCAGCGCCGTGCCGAAGAAGTGCTGCGCGTGCACCCCGTCCACCATCACTGACGATGGCACGTGCACCTGCAAGGTGGGGGGCGCAGGGGAGATTACTTGTGCATCTATGTGAAGAAGTGCTGCGCGTGATGGCACGTGCACGTGGGAGGGAGGAAATGGAGAGGGGAAGGGATGGATAGCATGAAAAAGAGTGATGTAACATGTGTGCATATACTGCCCCACCACGACTAACAATGGGGAATGGGGAGGACGTGGGGGGAGGGATGGAAAGGGATGGGGAGCAGGTGAAATGGGGAATGGGAATGAGAGGGAAAGTGAGGCAAAGGGTCACAGCAGAGGCAGGAGGAGAAAAGGATGTGGCAAGGCGAATGCGCTGCACCCACCCACCTCCATCATGACAAACGCGGGCTCCAGTGCACTCTCAACCAATGAGCTCGTGCCAGCTGCCTTGGCTGATGCGTCTGATCCATCCGCAGCAGCAGCAGCAGCAGGCTCGCTCCCATCCCCTACCACTGTCTCATCCGCCTTAAGCTTCTTGCTTCCTTCCCCTTCGCCCTCCTCCTCTCCTCTCGCCCTCTTCTCCCCCCTCTGCTGCTCGTCTACCTTCGCACCTTCTTTTTCCAAGGCCCCCTCTTGCTTATCGCCTTTACCATCACCACCAGCAACAGCACCATCAGCAGCAGCCGCCGCAACAGCGCCATCGGCAGCCGGAGCATCAGCGGCAGCAGCAGGCGGAGGGGGGAGGGCAGAGGCAATGCGCCAGAGCCCAGTGGAGTCATCCCTACAGTACATCTGCGGCGGCGCATACCACGCGTGCCGGTCCACCAGCAGCAGTACCGACTTGGGCCGGTGCCGCTCCCCATGCGTCACATACTCTATCGGCACTCTCGCCCCCGCCTCCAACCGCGCAAACACCCTTATGAATGAGTCCAAGTCCGGCACGTCCTGGTCTGCGAGCTTCTGAATGATGGCGAAGCGGGGCACGCCGGCGCGCGAGAGCATGTAGCCAGGCTCGGCGACGTAGACGAGGCCGCAGGGGAAGCGGAAGTTGCGCGCCTGCTGGTACGAGAGCGCGTGCAGCACGCCTCCTGAGAGCTCGAGGAAGCGGTCGGGCGTGACGGCGTGCAGGTCGTGCACTGTGAGGGTGAGGGAGAGGGGTGCGCCGCCACGCTCCACGTCGAGAGTTACGGTGCCGCCCACAGCGTCGTCTAGAATGGCTTCCAGTGCCAGGAACTGCGTCAGCACCTGCGAGGAGGTGGGGGGCGGGGGGTGGAGGGGAGGTCAGGAGGTGTGGAGAGGAGAACGTGGTGAGGTGATGGAGGGGGACATGGGGATGATGGGGGACAATAAGGACTTCACTTCAGAGAAATCATGAGAGAGGATGAGACGACCAAGAGAAGGAAGCAAGAGAGAGGAGGAAGGAAGAAGAGAGGCTCGCTGCCACCATCCACTCACTCACCTTGCCGTTGACGCGCACGAGGATGTCGCCGGGCTCCAGTCTGCCTTCAGCAGGGCCGCCCGGCACGAGCGAGTCCACCACCAGCAGCCCCGTTTCCGCCGCGCCCGCCTCGCGCCTCACCTCCGCCTCCGTCTCCCGCCTCAGCCCCAGCCGCCGCGTCTCGTCAAACCCCTTGTGAATCAACGTCACCTGGCGAAGTGGTGCGGGGGGGAAATGGGAAGAGGGGTGGAGAGGGGAGGAGGATGCGGGGGGTAGAGGGAGCAGGGGAGAGAGGAAAGGGAGTCAGGAGGTGGAGGGAGGGGGCACGGTTGGGGAAGAGCAGGACGGGCTACACTCAGATGTAAGCAGTGTCTCAGTGCTGCAAAGATGTCTCTGAACAAGCCCCAAACAGAGCGCAGCAGCAAGATACCTGCTCTCTCCCCTCCCTTCCCCTGTCCGTGCCCTCTCTCCCCCCATCCACCCCCCTCCTCCACCCTCCTCCCCCACACTTCCCCCCTCCTGCGCGCCCACGCACCTGCAGGGTGCCGCGAGTGACGACGGGCGGGCGCCACTTGTGCACGACGAACCCGCCGCCCTCCTTCTCCGCGAAGCACGCCTGGATGGCGCCCAGCGCGCGCACCACGCGGTCCAGCGGAAGGAAGAACGCGCTCGCGCTCGACGACTTGCTGCCCGCGTTCAGCGCCACGGCGCATCCGCGCGAGTCGATCACGGGCGACCCGCTCGACCCGCCCTTCGTACCCGACGCGGCTTGCAAATAAAACGTATTGAAATCATTATACCCGTCCTTTTTGTACACGGGCGCGTCGCGATCCAACCGCGCGATGGTCCCGGCGAGAATCGACACCTTCTCGCCGCTGTCGTTGCCCACGACGCGGATCTCGAGACCCACGGCGGCGGCCTCGGGCGCGAGCGGGATGTCGTGGTAGTCGAGGAATTGCACGGCGGCGGGGTCGAAGTGAAAGAAACCGAAGTCGTGCACGGGGTCGCGGTAAATCGGGTGCACGGGGACCTCCTCGCGGTTCAGAAACATCGCCTCCGCCACCACCGGGCCTGTGGAGCGCGCGCGCGCGGGGACAGGCGCGGACGAGCACGGGGACGGGCGCAGGGAGGCGGAACGGGTTGTTTGCAAGGCGGGACGCGAGGATTCCAAGGAATGGGACGTTTGGGGTGAGATGAGAACTGGCCGGAGATTTAGGATCGAGGCAGGGAGCAAGATGCAAGAGAGAGGGAGCGGCGCGCGGACCGGGTTTGACGACGTGGCGGTTGGTGAGGATGATGCCGCGGCGGCGGTCGACGATGAAGCCGGTGGCGTAGCTGGAGTTGGCGGACTCGGTGTCGAACGCGCGCACCACCGTCACGCGCAGCACCACCACCGCCGGCACCACGCGCGCCAACGCGCGCCGCCAGTCGTCCGACGACGCTGCGGGGAGGAGCAGGGATGATAGGCGTGGGAGTAAGGGGGTTGGTTGGCGGATGAGGCATCATGTAATGAATCTGGCGGAGAATTCGGTGGTAGAAAGGACTCATTAGCTAGCGATGGTGCGGGGAAATGCCGTAATCTGGCCAGCTGTACCCAGCTCCGCGGACACGCTAAGAGAGAGGTCGGATCAACTAAGAAATGCGCTCGAAGATATCGTGCTAACAGAAAGATCTTGTTTCCAGCGAGATCGCGCTAACAGCTAGATCGCGCAAACGGGGAAAGCGCGTCGACGTCGCGAATTCCAGGCGAGATACCTGAATGTCCCTCCACCACGGGGTCGATCTCCATCCGGACCGTGCTACGCTACTAGCCGGTGTTACGGTGAAGAGGTCTCTATCGCACGTCCTGCGAGCATGTGCAGAATAACGAAACAGGACTTGATGCCTGGTTACAGGTGGTCACAGGTGGTCACACGAAACCGGTGGTCACAGGTGCTGTCGCGGGAAGATGGCGATCACCAGATGTAGTACTGAAAATAGGTGGTCGCTTCTTGACTGTTGAAGTGAAGTATGGGCAAGGAGTGGGATGAAGTGGAATCTGGGTGGGCATTGGGCATTGAGGCGAAAATAGGGGTGTAGTGCAGAATCGAAGCTCCCAAGGTGCCATTCCTCAAAGGGGACCTCGCTAAACTAAGATCAAGAGACGGTGTGTGATAAATACTATAACTGTTATAACCCTTTTCTTACCATACTTCTTCACATCAAAAAGCTTTTGCAAGCTCGGCTTGCCACCTTACCACCGAGAAATGAAATCATTTGCCAGCAAGGGCGTGGAAGGGATGCGAGCATCATTGGTCATCGGCCCTTGAGAATGAAGAGTGCCCGCTGCACTTCCTCCACATGTGCGGATCCTAGCGCGTTTTGAGGCTAGAAGCGCTCGCAGCGAGCGTTTTTCTTCTACCAGGTCATGTGGCTGCGCTTGTCTAGGCCTCTTGCCAAGCCAGCAAGGGCGTGGAAGGGTTGCGAGCATCATTGGTCATCGACCCTTGAGAATGAAGAGTGCCCGTTACACTTCTTCCACATGTGTGGATCCTAGCACGTTTTGAGGCTAGAAGCGCTCGTTCTGAGCGTTTTTCTTCTACCAGGTCACGTGGCCGCGCTTGTCTAGGCCTCTTGCCAAGCCAGCAAGAGCGTGGAAGGGTTGCAAACATCATTGGTCATCGGCCCTTGAGAATGAAGAGCGCCCGCTGCACTTCCTCCACATGTGCGGATCCTAGCGCGTTTTGAGGCTAGAAGCGCTCGCAGTGAGCGTTTTTCTTCTACCAGGTCATGTGGCTGCACTTGTCTAGGCCTCTTGCCAAGCCAGCAAGGGCGTGGAAGGGTTGCGAGCATCATTGGTCATCGGCCCTTGAGAATGAAGAGCGCCCGCTGCACTTCCTCCACATGTGCGGATCCTAGCGCGTTTTGAGGCTAGAATCGCTCACGTGGCTGCGCTTTTCTAGGCCTCTTGCCAAGCCAGCAAGGGCGTGGAAGGGTTGCGAGCATCATTGGTCATCGGCCCTTGAGAATGAAGAGCGCCCACTGCACTTCCTCCACATGTGCGGATCCTAGCGCGTTTTGAGGCTAGAAGCACTCGTTTTGTGCGTTTTTCTTCTACCAGGTCACGTGGCTGTGCTTGTCTAGGCCTCTTGCCAAGCCAGCAAGGGCATGGAAGGGTTGCGAGCATCATTGGTCATCGGCCCTTGAGAATGAAGAGCGCCCGCTGCACTTCCTCCACATGTACAGATCCTAGCGCGTTTTGAGGCTAGAAGCGTTCGCAGTGAGCGTTTTTTTTCTACCAGGTCACGTGGCTATGCTTGTCTAGGCCTCTTGCCAAGCCAGCAAGGGTGTGGAAGGGTTGCGAGCATCATTGGTCATCGGCCCTTGAGAATGAAGAGCGCCCGCTGCACTTCCTCCACATGTGCGGATCCTTGCGCGTTTTGAGGCTAGAAGCGCTCGTTCTGAGCGTTTTTCTTCTACCAGGTCACGTGGCTGCACTTTTCTAGGCCTCTTGCCAAGCCAGCAAGGGCGTGGAAGGGTTGCGAGCATCATTGGTCATCGGCCCTTGAGAATGAAGAGTGTCCGCTGCACTTCCTACACATGTGCGGATCCTAGCGCGTTTTGAGGCTAGAAGCGCTCGCAGTGAGCGTTTTTCTTCTACCAGGTCATGTGGTTGTGCTTCTCTAGGCATCTTGCCAAGCCAGCAAGGGCGTGGAAGGGTTGCGAGCATCATTGGTCATCGACCCTTGAGAATGAAGAACGCCCGCTGCACTTCCTCCACATGTGCAGATCCTAGCGCGTTTTGAGGCTAGAAGCGCTCGTAGTGAGCGTTTTTCTTCCACCAAGTCATGTGGCTGCGCTTGTCTAGGCCTCTTGCCAAGCCAGCAAGGGCGTGCAAGGGAGCATCATTGGTCATCGGCCCTTGAGAATGAAGAGCGCCCGCTGCACTTCCTCCAAATGTGCGGATCCTGGCACGTTTTAAGGCTAGAAGCGCGCGTTTTGAGCGTTTTTCATCTACCAGGTCACGTGGCTGCCCTTGTCTAGGCCTCTTGCCAAGCCAGCAAGGACGTGGAAGGGTTGCGAGCATCATTGGTCATCGGCCCTTGAGAATGAATAGTGACCGCTGCACTTCCTCCACATGTGCGGATCCTAGTGCGTTTTGAGGCTAGAAGCGCTCGCAGTGAGCGTTTTTCTTCTACCAGGTCACATGGCTGCGCTTGTCTAGGCCTCTTGCCAAGCCAGCAAGAGCGTGGGAGGGTTGCGAGCATCATTGGTCATCGACCCTTGAGAATGAAGAGCGCCCGTTGCACTTCTTCCGTATGTGCGGATCCTAGCGCGTTTTGAGGCTAGAAGCGCTCGTTCTGAGCATTTTTCTTCTACCAGGTCACGTGGCTGTGCTTGTCTAGGCCTCTTGCCAAGCCAGCAAGGGCGTGGAAGGGTTGCGAGCATCATTGGTCATCGGCCCTTGAGAATAAAGAGCGCCCGCTGCACTTTCTCCACATGTGCGGATCCTAGCGCGTTTTGAGGCTAGAAGCGCTCGTAGTGAGCGTTTTTCTTCGACCAGAACATGTGGCTGCGCTTGTCTAGGCCTCTTGCCAAGCCAGCAAGGGCGTGGAAGGGTTGCGAGCATCATTGGTCATCGGCCCTTGAGAATGAAGAGCGCCCGCTGTACTTCCTCCACATGTGCGGATCCTAGCGCGTTTTGAGGCTAGAAGCGCTCGCAATGAGCGTTTTTCTTCCACCAAGTCACGTGGCTGCGCTTGTCTAGGCCTCTTGCCAAGCCAGCAAGGGCTTGGAAGGGTTGCGAGCATCATTGGTCATCGGCCCTTGAGAATGAAGAGCGCCCGCTGCACTTCCTCCACATGTGCGGATCCTAGCGCGTTTTGAGGCTAGAAGCGCTCGCAGTGAGCGTTTTTCTTCCACCAAGTCACGTGGCTGCGCTTGTCTAGGCCTCTTGCCAAGCCAGCAAGGACGTGGAAGGTTGCGAGCATCATTGGTCATCGGCCCTAGAGAATGAAGAGCGCCCGCTGCACTTCCTCCACATGTGCGGATCCTAGCGCGTTTTGAGGCTAGAAGCGCTCGTAGTGAGCGTTTTTCTTCTACCAGGCCACGTGGCTGCGCTTGTCTAGGCCTATTGCCAAGCCAGGAAGGGCGTGGAAGGGTTGCGAGCATCATTGGTCATCGGCCCTTGAGAATGAAGAGCGCCCGCTGCACTTCCTCCACATGTGCGGATCCTAACGCGTTTTGAGGCTAGAAGCGCTCGTTGTGAGCGTTTTTCTTTTACCACGTAACGTGGCTGCGCTTGTCTAGGCCTCTTGCCAAGTCAGCAAGGGCGTGGAAGGGTTGCGAGCATCATTGGTCATCGTCCCTTGAGAATGAAGAGCGCCCGCTGCACTTCCTGCACATGTGCGGATCCTAGCGCGTTTTGAAGCTAGAAGCGCTCGCAATGAGCGTTTTTCTTCTACCAGGTCATGTGGCTGCGCTTCTCTAGGCCTCTTGCCAAGCCAGCAAGGGCGTGGAAGGGTTGCGAGCATCATTGGTCATCGGCCCTTGAGAATGAAGAGCGCCCGCTGCACTTCCTGTACATGTACAGATCCTAGCGCGTTTTGAGGCTAGAAGCGCTCGTTCTGAGCGTTTTTCTTCCACCAAGTCACGTGGCTACGCTTGTCTAGGCCTCTTGCCAAGCCAACAAGGGCGTGGAAGGGTTGCGAGCATCATTGGTCATCGGCCCTTGAGAATGAAGAGCGCCCGCTGCACTTCCTCCACATGTGCGGATCCTAGCGCGTTTTGAGGCTAGAAGCGCTCGCAGTGAGCGTTTTTCTTCCACCAAGTCACGTGGCTGCGCTTGTCTAGGCCTCTTGCCAAGCCAGCAAGGGCGTGGAAGGGTTGCGAGCATCATTGGTCATCGGCCCTTGAGAATGAAGAGTGCCCGCTGCACTTCCTCCACATGTGCGGATCCTAGCGCGTTTTGAGGCTAGAAGCGCTCGCAGTGAGCGTTTTTCTTCTACCAGGTCATGTGGCTGCGCTTGTCTAGGCCTCTTGCCAAGCCAGCAAGGGCGTGGAAGGGTTGCGAGCATCATTGGTCATCGACCCTTGAGAATGAAGAGTGCCCGTTACACTTCTTCCACATGTGTGGATCCTAGCACGTTTTGAGGCTAGAAGCGCTCGTTCTGAGCGTTTTTCTTCTACCAGGTCACGTGGCCGCGCTTGTCTAGGCCTCTTGCCAAGCCAGCAAGAGCGTGGAAGGGTTGCAAACATCATTGGTCATCGGCCCTTGAGAATGAAGAGCGCCCGCTGCACTTCCTCCACATGTGCGGATCCTAGCGCGTTTTGAGGCTAGAAGCGCTCGCAGTGAGCGTTTTTCTTCTACCAGGTCATGTGGCTGCACTTGTCTAGGCCTCTTGCCAAGCCAGCAAGGGCGTGGAAGGGTTGCGAGCATCATTGGTCATCGGCCCTTAAGAATGAAGAGCGCCCGCTGCACTTCCTCCACATGTGCGGATCCTAGCGCGTTTTGAGGCTAGAATCGCTCACGTGGCTGCGCTTTTCTAGGCCTCTTGCCAAGCCAGCAAGGGCGTGGAAGGGTTGCGAGCATCATTGGTCATCGGCCCTTGAGAATGAAGAGCGCCCACTGCACTTCCTCCACATGTGCGGATCCTAGCGCGTTTTGAGGCTAGAAGCACTCGTTTTGTGCGTTTTTCTTCTACCAGGTCACGTGGCTGTGCTTGTCTAGGCCTCTTGCCAAGCCAGCAAGGGCGCGGAAGGGTTGCGAGCATCATTGGTCATCGGCCCTTGAGAATGAAGAGCGCCCGC